GTTAAAAGTTTAGCCTATCTGTAGTTATATAGAAATTCTACACCAAAATGCAGATCATGGGTTAAATTTACTAAGTTAAATTAATTTTAATTTTGTTTAGACTTGAGTCTTATCCTCAAGGTTTTTCATTTTGTATGCGCAAATATTCAAAACCCATAAAAAAATTGGAAATCTGACAAACACACATTTGGTCCTTAGTATTTTAGACAAGGGCTACTCAACCTATATAATTCTTATAATAAATGTTCTTGAAAAAGTTTAATGAATTTTCTTTTGGATATTGTCTCATACACGAACACATGCTTACCTGGACAATATAAAAATACTTCAGCAAATATTTTTATAAAATGAAGAATTTCCATTTCTTAGGAGAAATTTGATGACTTTTACTCAGAAGAAATTGTTTTGGTACACTCTTTTCTTAGTATCATACGTTATCTTATATTTCATTACCATATAGGAATCACTCATGTCAGGTATGGCTGCATAATATATGAGAAAAGACACAAGAAGGTGGCAGAGTTCCAGCCCAGCTTCACTCTGGTACAAATCGATTAATCATCTTCATTTTCACCTTTTGTATTATAAAAAGAAGCAGAATTTTGTCCCTAATAGTATTCCCTCTCTGAAAGTATTTTTATTTCTGTGACCTTCTTGAACATTGCTTTTTATGCTATAGATTTATAGCATGTAAAAAAGACTGAACTAGTGCTAATTCTTTGATTATTGAGAAATATCCCAAAAGTAGACTGTGCACAAGAAATACAATTAATTGAAATCTCTGGTCATTTTTGGACAAATTAGGATGTACTTTATTTTGTAAAACTGAACCTTGTGAAAAGACATATATTAAATTATAGTTTTTATGTTCTAAAACAATTGTGTAGAACTGTATCTTAAAAAGAAATTCATTAGGTGGGCAGAATTTTATGTTGTAAAACAATTCTTTATTTTATTAAAACACTTACTCTAGTGTACTTTTATATATCATAAGCCCTCAAAGTATAATTGAACTTACCCAGTTTTCTAAAGAAACTATTTCAGGGACATTTTTATTAAAGTTGAGACAAATTTAAGTGTTATTTAATACTTATTTTCTTCTTTATTGAACTAATAAGCAATCTTTCTCAGATACACATTTTTGGTATACATGTTACAGTTTTAGGTTACGATTATATTATTTTTATTATGAATATGTAAAAGTATTTGTTATGTCATTTAGACTTGGTCCTCTGTAAATGTAGTTATATTAGAAGTTACTTCTGTTATTTGATGCCTATATTTTGTCCTTTTTATAGAGTCAGTATTTTCTGTATACATTTACACTATTAGTTATGACATGATTAAATAATACAGTTAAAGTATGACAAAGCCAGTATATACAACCCAATTTTTCAAAAGCAATTCTTTAATAATTAAGTTTTTCAATATATGAAATACTTAAGGTTCTGAAACACTTTCGGTTCTTGTCTCAGTACTTACATACACAATTTATTTTAAAAGTTATTGATATAATTTATATTAGCCTGATGAAATTTTCCAGGTATTTTCATTTACACTTACCTCCTTATTACATGCAGGACGTGTAATTTAACTGAAGCCATTTTCATAATCTTAGCATTAATGATTAAAGATCTACTCGGCTCTTTGCTTTCTTTATTACTGTTTAATAGACCAGCTCGAAATTTAGTGACTTAAGACAATAGCAAGTGTTTATTTTGTTCTTAGATTTATAATTTGAGCACAGTTTGGCAGAGATGGATCTTCTCATACTGTTTTATTACTTGGAATGGGTTAATTAAGGGGCGGAACATCTAGTTTGAAGATGATTGAATCATGTGACTGTCAGTTAGGATCTCATCAAAGGCTTTATGGTGAAGGGCCTCAGTTTCTTTCTTTGTAGCCCCCTCTGTGTCTCTGGACTTTCTTACAACAGTTAGAATACAGGACAGGATTTGATATAGTCTGGGTCTGGAAACTTAAGTAGTTGTCATTTCAGCTGTAAACTGTTGGACAAACAAATCATAAATTTAAGGGATGGGGACATAGATCCTGCCTTTCAGTGAGAGGAGTACTTTAAAACATAGTTTTAAAATTTCCATATGTAACAAGATTTGATCACATATAATAAACAGTTGCCATTTCACAGATCAAAGATACATTAAAATACCTATCCATGTGGAAAGATACTTAACAGTATTTTTGTTTTATAGAGTTATATTTGAAAGACATAATTTTTATAAACCACACTTTGTTTAAAAAATATAAAATACAGTAAATGCACAATAAAAATTACTGTTCATATGAATACTATAATGTACTTTTATTTAGCTGTGTGTGATGCATTTAATAAATATCCCATACATGTATATAAAAACATAAAAAGTAATCCTTCAGTTTAATCATCTCCTTGTGATAGCTACTCTTCCTATAATTTTGAGTTTGTGCCTTATGCTGATGAAATCAGAATCTAATATTATATATTTTAATATAAATTCTTTCCCATCCTTTACCTCTGGTAGGTTGATTAATATAATCACATTGGCAAATGCACATGAAATGGTATCTGCTTTACTTAAGTCTTAAGCCTTTTTGAAAACTTTTCTGATAAGTTTTGAAGTTATTATATGTACTGTTTAAAAAAAATGATCTTATATGGAATCACTTCTGCAGAGATGTGTTGCTCATTTTCATTCTATCTATATGTCACAACTTGTCACCATTTATAGTCTCTGATTCAAGTGCCATCATCAAAGTTATCAGAATTAAATCTCTCACTCTGAGTAATGCTAGGGATCCTGACTATGCTATTTCATTACCTGCTATGAATAAATTTCCAATCAGGAGCTGCCCATGTTTTAATTTTCTGTCTACTCGGCTGAACTGCCTTGTAGCTCTGCTAAATTACTAATGACAGTTCATAACAGAGATTGGTTTGTCCTTTCTTCAGTTGGTATAGAGAACTTTGACAAATCTGTCACCCATAAGGAATCCAGGAATTTCCAGAGTAAGAAATAATGTATATAACTTAGTTGTCTGAGTTTTCAATTCTATTTAAATGTTCTTCAGCATTATATAAAAGAACTTGAGACAGTAAAACAAGTGAAGAGTTTATTTGTTGGGCTGAAATAATTAATGAGAATCTATGGCCATACCACCCTGAATGTGCCCAATCTCATCTGAAATAACTAATGTTCTTTAATCCTTACTAAATTTTCATGTGAGAATATTTGTTAGATATTCAACCCAAAGATAAGATATTAAATTTCAAAGGAGATACCATCATAAAGCAAATGCTCATTCCTCCCCTTAAGCTTCTATTTGGACACAAAATTAGTATAATCATGTTCTATCACTATAGGTTTATAATATAATAATATAGGCTAAAAGATAAAAATACATTTGTTAAGTTATTAGAGTTCTTTGCAGAAGTAAAAGTGAATCCAAGTTTCCTTCTTAGGATTATCAGTATATGGAATAAAATACTTCTTATTATAGACACTATAATGCTTAGGTATTTTTAACCAAAAAGGACATTTCCACAAGTTAGAATATAGAAGAAAATCTATTCTTTTTTTTTTTTGTACTGGGGATTGAACTCGGGTCCTTGTGCTTGTGAGGCAGGTGGCAGAACCACTGAGCTAAATCCCCAGCCCAAGGAAATCTATTCTATTCAAGCCTTCCTTGCTCAGAATGGATTTTTGGATCTTAACTAGTTTATCTATGATATCTTATTAGTTGTTTTTTCTTTTTTTTTTACTATAGTGAATTTTATAGATTGATTTGTAAATGTTAAATCAATCTTGCACTCCTGAGATAAGTCCTCATAAATATA